TACGGTCCTTTTGTCCTTCTTGTTGGAACCATTTTAAGTTTGACTGACCCAGTTACAGACATACTCACAGCGATGGAATTCTACTACGCGGATCACAAGATATGGTTTTACTTGGGGCTTGCTTTCATTTTTTTTCAAGGTTTGGTGTTGTGTTTTGTAGCCTTGCCTGATAGTGAACACTACGTGTGTTATATAATAACATTTCCTTTAATTATCATTTCCGGTGCATTTCATTGCCCTATTCTTCGAGTAGAAGAGTTGGTTTACTACTTGAAGAGATGGTGGAATCACAGGCGAGTCGTCACTGATGAAGACGGAGTTGACGGCGCTGAAGATTCTCGGAATATTGTAAACATGGCTGTGCTCCTTGAATCACTCAGTGAATCTGCCCCTCAGTTTATACTCCAGCTGTACGTTGCAAGTGTTCAAGAGGAGCCGGTGAAGGTTATACAAATCATTTCATTACCTGTCTCTTTCTTAAGTCTAGTTTGGGCTTTCACAAGCACTGACGAGGTGATCTATGAAGAAATTGCTAATACCTGGAAAGTGAAACACAAACTTGCACTTTCAGTAACACATTTATTTCTCTTGAGCAGTCGACTACTTGCTGTTTGTTACTTTACAGTCAGCTACAAGTGGTGGGTCACCGTCGTGTTTTTGTTTCACAGTTTACTGATTGTAACAATAGACACCATATGTGGTTGTACCAACTTAGGGGTCCTCGAAACCATAAAGAGGATCTTTTCAATCTTTCTTTTCTTCGTCCACTGGCTAAGAGATGACATTGTAGCGTATTTCCTATTTAAAGAGGAACAGCATTTACTGTGGAAAAGGCAGCTGTTTTCTCATTGTCTATTTATATCAGAAAACGTCGTCATCATTCTGCTGTTCTATTTCAGCCAACAGTCCAATACGTGGTACTCATTACCAGTCACAATCTGCGTGTGTTTGTTCAGTGTTCTTGGTGCGGTTATGAGAATTATCCTCTTTCGTCAGTTCTACTCAAAGACTGGACCGATAATCAATAACAATGATAACGGCTCAGCAGTTCAGCTGACATCTCAGGGGGATCCAAGATTTGGTGAAGGGGATTCGAAGAATTGTCCGCCACGGGCGTACGCCTGGGTGGAAGCGTCCACCCCCTCTGCAAGCATCCAACCCCCTCTTCCGCCTGCCCCTGCCCCTCTCCAGTGACGGGTCCAGACCTTTAACTAGGGATGGGGGTGGGGGTGCTTGCCTTGCTGGGTTTTCTTCTTTCTGCGATATTTTTTATTTTTTACCCATGATGAGGGGGC